CTAAGTGTATAACTGTTAGGCATCATTGTCTGTAATTATCGTTCCTGAATTCAATCATGTCTATCTATGCAAAGAATATTTCCGGAAAATAATGATCAATTAAATTTAAAGATATATAAATAAATCTATATTTTAGTTCCAATATCTAAATAATTATATATATTTTTTGAAACATAAATATAACAATCTAATCATTTTCTATTATATATTTAAATATATAATTATTTAAATAAAATTAAATATATTTAAATATATAATAAGAAATGATAAAATCGTTGTTGAAAGCATATTTATAAAATTAAAAGAAAAAAAGAAGTATATAAATTAATTTTTGATAATATATAGATTTCAATGAATAACAATACGATGGAAAAGTTTTGATGAGTAAATCAAACTGTTCGATTAATTAATTTAGCAGCAGTATGTGTGAAAAAGTGATGGATTTCGATTCACTACTTGCTGAGGTAATAATTTGACAACTTATGAAAATTTTAATGCATTAATTTCGGAAGGATATTTTGGATCATGCAAATGGAAAATAATTAGTTAATAATGATAATTTACGAATAATGATAATTAATGATAATGATAATTTATATTTTTAAATAGAAATTTATTGATGATAATTATCGTTTATCATTAATAAATTTCTATTTAAAAAAGTTTATTTAACAAATGAGAAATGTTTCGAAAATGAAATATATTTTAGTATTATCACAGAAGTTTTTTAAATAAGGAAAATTTAATTTGATCAAAACTAATTTCTTCTTAAACTTAATTATGTGTTTAAATTGAAATATTTAAACAGCACTTTATAGGTTGGCGATTTTGGTCCATTTCAAATCATATTATTTTTTGTAATATGTTTACCGGCAAGTTTACCATCCGCATTTTCGGCTTTCAATCAACCATTTGTTGTTGGTCAACCGGATCATCGATGCCGTTTGCCCGAAGGACGTGAAGATTTAAGTCCAATAAACGAATTTGCTACACCGGTATACAACAAAAAGAAATTCTTTAAATTTAGCAAAAATTTAAATTACAATAATAATTCATTTCACATTTACAATGATTAGAGAGCATTAATTATAATTTTAGTTGAAAATTTTAATTTTCAAATTTCTTCAGGAAGAAATGAGTTGTCGACAATATAATGCTACTGAAGTTGATTTATTGTTGAATTCCACCATTATCAATGATAAGAAATATTTGAGAAATCTCTCATTGATATCATGTCAAATAGGTTGGGTTTATGATAATAGCGTCTATATTGATACATTGGTTACTGAGGTATTCTTTTATTTCAACTTTTACATCTGACATAAAAGTAAAAATTCACAGATATTATATATTCTTAATCATAAGTAATATTTGTAACGTAACAAATAAATTACAAGAGAAAAAAAAAATAATTTGATAATTGATTTGGTAATTAATTTGATAACATAAATTAATGATTGATTTGATAATAAATTTGATAATTTGATAACATAAATTAATGATTATGGAACAATGTGTGGAAATGATATGTTATATTATGTTACACCGTAAGTTAAACCATAGATAATATTTGAAACGTAGCAATAAATTATAAGAAAAAATTAACTTAATAATTAATATTTTAAATTGATAACATAAATTAATAATTATGCAACAATGTCGGAAATGATATGTTATATTATGTTACACCATAAGTTATATATTATTTTTTCAACTATATATATATATTTTATGCAAATATTTTATACTTCAAACAAAAAAAAAATACTTTAAAAAGTATTTATTTCCGTTCGAAATGTTATCTTCAAATATAACTAAATTAAAATTAAGTGTATATCAATCGATCTTTTCTTTTCTATTTCTAATTTATGTGTCAAAGTAAAAAGGATATAATATAATTCTAATTCTACTGAACGCTACATAACGTTAACTTTTCGACGTATTTGAAGCTTCTTTTCTTGCCTTATTTCTAAACCATATTATCATCAAAAAAAAGGAATAATTAAATTATTTATTTCAAAATGGATAAATTAAAATGAAATCATTCCATGTTTACTATCAATCCCGTATTGTTTTCGTTAATTACTGCTATCAGATCAATATTAAATAACAAATATCAATTATAAATTTCAATAATTATTATAATTACAAATTTATAGTACGATTTGGTATGTGATCAAAAATATTGGGTTGATTTAACAAGTATGGCATTTTACATTGGTAGCTTCATTGGTAATGTACTATTCGGATATATTGCTGATAAGTATGTTCTTGTAAAAATTTCAACAATTTCATTTTTTCAATTTTAAATTATTATGCAAAAAGTTTTGATGGCATTTAAAGTTCTAATGGAAAAATAACCAATAGTCATTTTCTAAAGAAAATATTAAAATGCAATTTTCTTTTGTTTCAAAGATATTACTTATTATTTAAGTATTATAATTTAAGTTACCCATCAAACAATTAGTTTAGCATAAATATTAAAATGCAATTTTCGTTTGTTTCAAAGATAATACTTATCATTTAGGTATTATAATTTAAGCTCTCAAACAATTATTTAGGCATAAAATATATTTTAATTTTTGATAATATCAAATGTTTACAGATTTGGACGCCGCGTATCATTTTTTATGATCCTTGCAACACTTGTCGTATGTGGTACAACAAATTCATTTGCATGGGGTACTTATTCATTTATGGTGCTACGATTGCTCACCGGATTAGCATTTCCGGCACTTTTTCAATTACCCTTTATTATAAGTGAGAATATATTGCTATAAATATTTGAAAAATATTAATTTATGCAAGGAAATTACAGATTTTATTTTTTGTATAAAATATCATCAAAATGTTTTGTATTTTATTATAAATGATTAATTATTAATTTGAACTTAATTTGTAAAATAATTAAAATCTATATTAGGTATGGAATTTATGGGCGAATCGGGTCGAATATTTTCCAGTGTTGTACTCGATGTATTCTTTGGAACAGCTTTGGTATTACTTGGTTTCTTAGCTATGCTTATTCGTCGTTGGCGACAGCTAATTTTTTTTAGCAATGCACCATTTGTTATTTTGTTTACTTATTATTTGTAAGTTGCAAAACGATATATTATGTTGAAATTCATTTAAAAAATTTGTAAAAAATTAATTTACTGATAAAAATATTGATAAGAAGAAAAGGAAGCAGTTGGGAAAAATATGATAATGATAACAAAATATTATTAAATAATATTGGGAAAAATATAGGGATTATGTTGGAAATGTTGGAATATTGAGAAGAGAAATGTTGGAATATTGTGATAAATATGATAATGATCAAAAAATGATATTGATAATGATAAAAAATAGTGTTAAAATGAAGTAACCATGGATTTATAAAATTTTTATTAAGATTAAAATGCGGATAAATCGTACAAACATCAAACGTTGAATTACTATTGCAAACTTTTCTTTATAAGGATGATAATTATATTATCAGTGATTTATCAGTAAGAAGCGTAAACAAGAAGAGTGAAATTCAATAAATCGCGCTAGGATATCTAATGAATGAAACATATGATTGAACTTGCAATAAAGCCACTAAATTAATAACATCATTATCATTAATTTATCATTATCATTTATCATTAATTTCTATCATTTTATTATGATTAAATTGAATCAAATTTTAGAAATAATTGCTAACTTAATTTTAAAATAATTATATGAAAACTACTAATATATTTATATTAAATGTCATGATATTGATTTAACAAACTAGCAAAATATTTTTGCAGCATTGTTCCGGAATCACCACGATGGTTAGTTTCGGTTGGCCGATATGCTGAAGCTAAAAGTATTATTAAACGTTTAGCAAAAATTAATGGACGAAATGAGGTCGATGTTGATGATCTAATGTTAAAGGTAACTTTCACTTTTATTAGTAATATTTGGAGAAATTGCTTTTTTTAAGAAGTAAATAAATTTGCTACAATTATTTCAAATAAATAAAGTTTTAATTTATTTCTTATTTTTGTTGTTAAAATTTGATATTAAAATAAGACTGTAAAATTCATTTATAATAGCTGCATTGATTTAGTGTTAAAATTTTTTCATCATTTCTAGATTTTAAATTTAAATAATAATATTTTTAAACGGCAATATACATGATATATATATATGTGTTACTTACGATTATCAAATTTCTCTAAAGATTTTAATAATAATTTTAAACGGCGATATACATGATATATAAGTATTACTTATGATTTTGAAATTTCTCTAAAGATTTTAATAATAATATTTTTAAACGGTGATATACATGATATATAAGTATTACTTATGATTTTGAAATTTCTCTAAAGATTTTAATAATAATATTTTTAAACGGTGATATACATGATATATAAGTGTTACTTATGATTTTGAAATTTCTCTAAAGACTTAATTTATTTTCAGTTCATCAGAAGTAGATGTAATTTAACGTCACATTTAAATAAACACAATTTAACTGATTTATTTCGGACACCAAATCTTCGGAAGAAAACTATTCTTATCACCTATATTTGGTTTGTTGAAAATTTTTATTCGATTTTTTAATTATTTAATTTAAAAACAAAAGGGAAAAATTTTTTCCAAAATTTTCTAGATATGCTTTAATCCAGATAGAGCTTTTTCTTCCTTTTCAATTGTTTTTATTTTGCTTCCTTAATTACTTCTGTAATTTCAATTTTCAATTATAGGTTTGTGAATGCAGTTGTTTATAACTGTTTAACATATAATATATCAAATCTTCCTGTTAATGATTTCTTGTCATTTATTATTAATGGTGCTGTAGAATTGCCAGCTTATTTTCTTGTTTGGCCATTACTTGATGCTATTGGACGTCGTTGGTCATTAGCTGGACCTATGATACTTGCCGGATTAGCATGCATTTCGACAATTTTAACACCTATTACATACGGTCAGTTTAATAGCAATAAAATCGGATAAAACGAAAGTGTTAATGTTTATCCTTTTTCGTTCCTCACGCACAGTTACATATTACACACGTAATCTATTGATGTCACTCACGTTACACACGTAATTCATTGACCTCACTCACGTTACACACGTTAACTTAAATATAACCATATAGAATTTGTATCATTTCCAATAAAAAGGTGTTGTTACCTTTTTCAAGCCTTGACACTTTTACTTTTAGCAGCTGGCATTAAATCAATTAGGATTGAAAAACTTGCGAAAATCGTATAATTCATAAACTTTTGCTAAATTTCAACCCTTTAAAATAGCATTAAATAATTTTTAATTAAATTTGAAACTTAAAAAATTAAAATTTTTTACTTCTTTTTATCTCAAAAAAAAGACAATGAACATAATGAATAATTAATAAAGTCAAAAAAAACAATAACATAGTTAATAAAGCATTAATTCCTCTTTCCATACTATTTATTACCATTCAGTTCATATGTTTGTGAAATTAAAATCAAAAATTTTTAATGAAATTTGCAGAACATCCATTATTTGTCGCAATAATGGCATATATAGGTAAATTTGGAATTGCCGGAAGTTTTGCCGTAATATATCTATTTTCCGGAGAATTATATCCAACTGTTTTACGTGCTCTTGGTATGGGTATGAGTTCGATGATTGCTGGTTCTGGATTAATTCTTGCACCATATGTTGTACGGCTGGTGCGATCTTTAAATAATTTCGTATTAATTAATAAAACAAACTCATTTTAGCATAATTTAAATTGAACATTTAAAATATTTTAATCCAAATTGCTTATCTGTTAATTTTATCAATTATTTCCATTTGCTAAGTGACCTTTAATTAATTAAATCCGGATTTAATTTCTTGAATTTAAAAATTTCGATATATTAAGCATAGAGATACTGCCATAGTATTGGTATATATTTTACCTCTCATAAAATAAAATACAGGTGATTTTCTCCTTACTTGTATAACTCGAAATTTAATTAACTAATTAATCAATTTATTTATAAAATAATTAATATTGAAATAATTACACAAACAGTATTGTAATAAAAATTTCGTTCTTACTAATTAATCAATTTATTTATAAATTAATTAATATTGAAATAGTTACACAAATAGTATTGTAATAAAAATTTTGCTTATATTAATTAATCAATTTATTTATAAATTAATTAGCATCGAAACAATTGTTCAATAGTATCGTAACAAAAATTTTATTTTAGCAATATTTGTTCAATAAATAAATTGCGAACAAATTTTTCTCTTAATGAATTCTTCATTAAGTTGCTTTCATTTGTCTTTCTCATAATTATTAATTAGAAATGAATAATTTCAATTTTAGGGTGATTACTTGCGTACATTACCATTGATACTTATGGGTTTACTTGCAATATCAGCTGGTATAGCATCATTCTTTCTACCAGAAACAATGGGTAAACCAATACCACAAACAGTTGAAGAAGCAGAATTATTCGGAAAATCTCAGAAGTCTCAGTCTCATTTCCTAACAAGTATCTATGCTTTGGGAATTTTTTCGAATGAAATTACAGTCATTTGAAAATTTATAATGAATTTCTAATTTTATATTATCCGTTAGAAAAAGCAATTCAAATAGCTATCATTTAAAATTATTAAAATTAAAGAAAATTAATTCATTAAGAATTTTTGAATTAAATTAAAAGGAATAATTTATTAGGAAGAAGACAAAGGGAATATAGCTAAAATTTACGATCATATTAAGATTTTGTAATCATTTCATAACTTCACGTTCCATAAAAACGTTATCATTGACGCTTACGTACGTCTATCATTTAATTTAATCTATCATTTATATCATTTAAGCTATCATTTAATGCTTATTGAAATTTTATTCCAATCTAGATTTTTATTTATTTCAGAGGAAGAAGAGACATATGGAAGTGTGGTAGTGCTTGAAGCTGGAAGAAATTCAGAAGTTTTATTAATGGAAAAGACATCTACTGCCGGTATTAGCTAATTTATTATTATTACAACAAATTTTATTATCTTTGGCTTTTTCAAAAAGAAAATATCAAATGCTAAAGAATAGGTTGAAATGCAAATATCGGTGATAAAATTATCAGTGAATGGATAAATGTTAAAGAATAGGTAGAAATGTAAATATCGGTTATTAAATTATCAGTGAATGGATGTTAAAGAATAGGTAGAAATGTAAATATCAGTGATTAAATTGTCAGTGAATGGGTAAATGTTAAAGAATTATCAGTAAATGGGTAAATGTTAAAGAGTAGGTAGATATGTAAAAATCAGTGATTAAATTATCAGCGAATGGATAAATGTTGAAGAATAGGTAGAAATGCAAACATCAGTGATTAAATTACTTTAATGGATGAATACTTTTTTCACACTCTTAAATTGGAATAAAACATAACAGAAGATTATCGAAAAGAATTTTTAGCATCCTCAGGTGAATTTCTTGGATTTCTGATACCAGATGAAGATTTCAAAGAAGTTTTGGTTTGATAAATCGATTTCTCGCGTAAAATATTTGTAGGAATATTTTATAAAGAAAGAAGAAACAGTTTCTGATACGTTCAATTTTTCGTTTATATGAAATTAATTATTTTGCTTAAAATAAATACAAAACCAAAATATTATATTATAGCTAATTTTCAACCCTTTTTTGATTCGCATATTTACCTTTACATGCACATGGAACTTTTTACATGCATTTACATGCATTAACAATTCACATGCAAATTTTTCCCGATCTGATAACTAATTGTGTTTCAATCATTATGCTATTATCAGGTCTTGTCTTATTTCTTTACATAGTATTTCTATTTTATAATCACATACCTATCCTTGTATCCAATAGGATTATATCAGAATATTTATTGTAAACCACTTTTAGTTATATATGTAAAGAGTTGGCGATCAGAGAACGACAAGTTTAATACTCCTTCAACTTCAGTTATCACGTCTTATCCGAAGAATACTTAAAAATTTAAATGGCAATTAGTTTGAATCTTAATAATTTCAAATAATTCTAAACCTCAAATTGTTTTTAATGGAAATGCTTTATCATTATTTGATGCTAATCACATATTAAATTATTGTGTATTCCCTTCGAATTTCATTCCATTCTGAGTTGCAAAGATTTGATGATAATTCTGAACAATGCTGCCAGTTATAATCACATTTGCATGAAACTATTATTATTCACTGTAACTAACAAAAAATTTTAGAGTAAAAATTATTATGCGGAAAAGATTAGGCTTTTGTGATTACATATGGTCATAGATCATACGGCTTACCGGAATGCATAAAAACGGTTTTCTCTGTTAACACAACAAATATAACTTCATTAGATTGGTGTCTCCTAAAAATATTTTTCGAAAAGACTTCGACGAATTCCTCATTCTACCACTTCTCGATTATGATTATATCGTACTATTTGGTACCGCTTGTGTTGCCGTTGTACATCGCACAAGTAACGGTATGTGAATAAGATATTGCTTTCAGTATAGAAATTAAATATTCACAAAGTTTTTAATCTCAGCTAAGGACAAAAACAATTGCTTCTTGTGAAGGAAAATTAAATTTTTCATTTCTTATCTATTTACCTGTTACTTCTAATTAGTCGAATTAATCTGTGACCACCTATAGCAAAAGCCAAATTCAAAAGAGTTGTAAATTAAATCACCGAACTATTTTTGTTACATCGATCTGTTAATCCTTCTGTCTCAAATCAATTGTAACAATATAGCACAACTGACAGTTTTTTTAAATTATTATTATAATTCACCGAGCAATTTAAAAATATAGAAGTGAATTGTTGCCATTCAAAGATTTTACAATGATATCTGCACAACGTCTCTGATTATTTCTGCTCAAAATTCACAGGAAAATAATAATCAAATATATAAGCAAGTCATTTTGAGTAATTTCAGGTATCAAATGATGGCGATCAGTCAATACAAGCAGACCTGGGAAATGGCGATAAAATAATTACTATGGCTAGTGATAATAAAGCAAACGAAAAACGATTCAAATGTATAGTATGCGATAGAACGTTCAAAACATCCGGCAATTTGAAGAAACACGATTTGACGCACGGAAACGTACGACCATTCAAATGTGCTATGTGCGATAAAGCTTTCAAACAGTGTCGCTATCTGAAAGAACATATGCAAATACATTCGGATCGCAACAAATCAGAATGCAGTGTATGTAAAAAAGAATTCAAACAGTGCCGCTATCTTAAAAAACATATGAAAATACATATGGAACGAAACACATCGGAATGTATTGTATGTAAAAAAGAATTCAAACAGCGCGGCAATATGAGAGAACATATGAAGACACATACGGACATTAAAAAGATACTGAAATGCAGCGTATGCGGTAAAGCATTCAGATACTGTTCAAATTTGCTGAGGCACAAATTGACGCACGGAAACGAACGACCATTCAAATGTCACATGTGCAGTAAAACATTCAAAACATCCGGCAATCTGAAGAAGCACATATTGACGCATGGAAACATGCGGTTATTCGAATGTAACGCATATGGTAGGAAATTCACACAAACAGTTAGTTTGGATAGACACATGGCAACACACGGAAGTTCGGGTGAGAAGCTGTGTTCTTCAGTAAGCTCCTTAATGATATCGATAGCAGATGATATCATTGACACAGAAATATTTATAAAGGAAATAATTACACTCGCAGGAGTATAAATTATTGTATTTTGTTGGCTTAAATTATATTTGTACTGTTTTTTTGCCATTTGTGCTTTGTCCACTATTTTTTTAATCGAATGTCAAAGGTGATTGATAGAATTGGATGAAAATTTTAAATTATGATTTGATGAAACTTTCATAAATTTTCATAAATTATTCAAATCCACTTCGCCAATATTCTCTTCATTATCAAATTTGCCTAATTACTATCGCAGTTTCTTACTTACAATCTCTTCACTGATAATAACTGACCACTTCACTCTTTCCACGTTTTATGCATACATTCCATTTTTGATGTTCCGAACTCGCGAAACTTAGAAATCCACAGAAAAATGGTCATGTTAATTCAGGTTAGCTTCTATTGTAATAATACTTTCGGATTTTTCTATATGCTTTAAACGTCAGAAATCCAAGATAACCTTATAAAAGAATTACTCGAAATACTTTATATTCCAGAAAATTGTTCTAAATTCCTCGTTTTTCAATTTATGCTATACGGATTACCTATAAATGAGTCGAATTGTCTCAAATCCTTTGTATTGTCTCAAATCCTTTGTTTGTATAAATGAATCGAATTGTCTCAAATCATCTTGAAAGCAATATATAAGTGCTTAATCACTGACAGAGTAATTTATTTCTACCAAACAAATTGTAATATTTGTTGGAACTATGCTTCAGAACATATTGGAACAATGGGTTACTGAAAGCCTTGAAAATCTGTTCGCGTTGAAGATTTATACGAATAATGCTTGAAAATTCTAATAGCAAATATTTGGGATGGTAATAATTTCGAAATAGTTTCGAACTTCAAATTATTTTAATAGCAATACTTTATCGTTCTTTGGTGATGAATACACATTGATGATTACACTTATTGTGAATATTCGAATGATTTTATTCTATTCTGAACTGAAAGGGTTTGGTGACAGTTCTGAACAATGCTGCCAGTTACAATCACATTTGCATGAAACTATTATTGTTCACTGCAACTAATAAAAAATATTAAAGTGGAATCAAAATTATTATGCAAAAAGACAGAGGTTTTATAACTATATTTGGTCATAGATCATACGGCTTATCGGAATGCATAAAAACGGTCCTCTCAGTTAATACGACAAATATCACTTCATTACATTGGTTCACTGCTAAAAATATTTTTCGAAAAGAATTCGGCTATTTCCACATCCCGCCGTTTCTTAATCATGTATCTATCATACTATTTGGTAATGCTTGTTTTGCCGTTGTACGTCGCGCAAATAACGGTATGTGAATAAGATATTGCTTCTCAGTATAAAAAAAAATAATTACAAAGTTTTTTATCTTAGCTAGCGGCAAAAATAGCTGCTTCGTAAATGGAAAAATTAAATTATTCATATTTATTTCTCTGTTACTTATAATTGATCGGTGTTCTGCGATCATATCCTACGCAAATACCAAAAGCGAAATACAAAAAGTTTGTGCATTAAATCGCCAAATCATTTTCATTACATCGATTTGTTAATCCTTCTGTCTCAAATCAACTGTCACAACATAGCACAGCTGATACTTTTTCCAAATTATTGTTACAATTCACCTAGCATTTTTAAATATAGAAGTAAATTGTGCCACTCAAAGATTCTACAATGATATCTACACTATATGTTTGATTATTGCTGCTCAAAAATGATAGGAAAATAATAATCAAATATATTAACAAATCATTTTCGGTTATTTCAGATATCAAATGAAGGCGATGAGGCAATACAAGCAGCAATAAAAAATGAAGAAATGAGTACTATGACTAATGACAGTAAAACAAACGAAAAACGGTACAAATGTGAAGTATGCGATAAGCAGTTCGGATGTTCAAGTAATCTGAATCGCCATAAGGTGATACATACCGATGAAAAAAATTACATATGTAAAGTATGCAATAAAGCGTTCAAAAGATCCGACAAATTGAAGATGCACCAAGTGATGCACAAAAGCGAACGACCATTCAAATGTTACGTGTGCAATAAAACATTCAAACGGTCTGACAATTTAAAGAAACACAGTTTGACGCACAGAAACGAACGACCATTGAAATGTCACTTGTGCTATAAAACATTTCAAGACTCCAGCGTTCTGAAGAGACACCAATTGATGCACGGAAACATACGACCATTCAAATGTTACATGTGTAATAAAACATTCAAGGAATCCGGGAATCTGAAGAAACACACATTGACTCATAGACACGTGCAATCATTCGAATGTAAAGTATGTGGTAAGAATTTCACTCAATACTATTATTTGAATAAACACATTAAAAGGCATAAAAGTTGGGATGAAAAGCTATATTCCATAGCACGCTCCTTAATGATATCGATAGCAGATGATATCATTGACACAGAAATATCAATAAGGAAAATAATTACATTCGGAGGACTATAAATTATTGTATTGTGTTGGCTTAAATTATATTTGTACTGTTTTTATGTCATTTGTTCTTTGCGTGATTTAATGTAAAAAGTGATTGATGAAATTGTACGTTAAAATATGAATTTTGAAAAATTGAATAAAATTTTGACGTAAAATTTTGAAAATTTCAACATTGGCTGTCAAGCATCAACAAAGCAATCATATTCATCCATTTCACTAAAATTAAAATTCGAAACAATAAACAAATTACACGGCACTGATAAACATATTCAACAACGTAATAGATCGAAATGGAAAGTAATAGATAGGAATGAAATCTTTGAATGATTATTTAGTATTCTTACTATTAGTTTTTATATTGTTTAAAACTTATGATTCGTACAAAAAAATAAAGAAAGGAAAGAATTTATACTATTTCACGTATTTTTAAGGTTTAAATTGAGATTCAGAAATGACATATTTCTGGATGCAATCGTTCTTTCAATATTTCGGTTTTATTTTTTAATTTGTTGTTTCCAGAACAAAGATATTTTAAAGATCCTTGCAACAATTAACATCTTTATTCTATGAAGAAGGTAAATGGATTCAAAATTTAAATGGCATGCATCCTATTACAGAATAATATAATATATCTTTGGATTAAAAGAAACACTTTAAAGACATTTCCGAGAATTAATGTCCCAGATAGGTTCCCAGCCTGCATTACAACTTGCACACAAACTTTCCGTTATTCAACAACAACCATTATAGAACAATTTCAACAACCATTATAGAACAATCAATGTATTTAGCAAAAGTAATTAATTATTACCAATTGCAAATTATTATGAATTAAACTATTTATATGTAATTGTAACATGTTTATATGAATTAAACTATATGTAATAGCAATGGAAAAAATTGTATTGTTCGGATAACTTAAGTTTCATTTTTAGTAATTATTAAACTTTCAAAGATATCGTTCACTTCTGTTTTCAATCGTTGTTTAATATGTTTATCAGTACTGTACAGTTTGTTCACATATTTTACGAATTTTAATTTTACTGAAATGGAAAAATATTGTTACTTTCCTGATGCTAACAGCCAATGTTCAAATTTTCAAAATTTTATATGCAATTTCATCAATCACTTTTTACATTCAATCAAGAAATAGCAGGCGAAGAACAGGTGGCAATAAAACAGTACAAATATAACTTAAGCCAACGCAATACAATAATTTATAGTCCTGCGAATGTAAATATTTCCTTTATAAATATTTCTGTGTCAATGATATCATCTGCTATCGTTATCATTAAGGAGCTTATTGTAGAATATAACTCTTCATCCGAACTTTTATGCAATTTCATGTGTCTATTCAAATTACATTTCTGAGTGAAATTCCTACCACATACTTCACATTTGAATGATCGTTCGTTTCCATGCGTCAATATGTGTCTGTTCAGATTCCCGGATTCTTTGAATGTTTTAGTGCACATGTGACATTTCAATGGTCGTTCGTTCACGTGCGTCAAATTGTGTCTCTTCAAATCGCGGGACCGCTTGAATGCTTTATTGCACACGCAACATTTGAATGGTCGACCGTTTTCGTGCCTCACTAGGTGGCTTTTCAGTTTGTCGGATCTTTCGAACATTTTATTGCACACCTTACACATGTAATATTTTTCATTGGTATGCATCACCTTATGGCGTTTTAGATTGCCTGAATTTCCGAATTGCTTACCACATACATCACATTTGAACCATTTTTCGTTTGCTTTACTGTCATTAGCCATAATCACCATTTCGTGGTCATTTCTTGTTACTGCTTGTATTGCCTCATTACTTTCATTTGATACCTTAAATAACCCAAAATGATATGCTAATTATTTGATTATAATCTTCCTATGAATTTTGAGCAGCAATAATCAGAGGCATTGTGCAGATATCATTGTAGAATCTTTGAATGGCAACAATTCACTTCAATATATTAAAAATAACTCAATGCAACAATAATTTGAAAAAAGTGTCGATTGTGTTATATTGTGACAGACAGCTCATTTGATACGGGAAAGATTAACAGAACGATGCAACGAAAATGATTTGGCGATTCAATGCACAAAATTTTTGTATTTCGCTTTTGCTATTTACCTTAGGAAATGATTGCAAAACATTGAGTATTTAGAAGTAACAAAGAAATAGGTATGAAAAATTAATTTATTTAATATACGAAGCAGCTCTTTTATTTTTTATACTGAGAAGCAATATCTTATTCACATACCGTTATTTGCGCGACGTATAACAACAAAACGAGCGCTACCAAATAGTATGATAGATACATGATTAAGAAACGGCGGGATGTGGAAATAGCCGAATTCTTTTCGAGAAATATTTTTAGCAGACAACCAATCTAATGAAGTGATATTTGTCGTATTAACTGAAAGGGCCATTTTTATGCATTCCGGGAAGCCGTATGATCTATGACCAAATATAATCATAAAACCTCTGTCTTTTTGCATAATAATTTTGATTCCACTCTAATATTTTTTATTAGTTGCAGGAATAATAATAGTTTC